TGTGATACAATTGCAGGTTATTCTGTCCCAGCTTATCAACGTGGTAGGTGTGGAGGACCCTCTCTGCTTTCACGCTGTGAAGTCATAGTAGCAGGAGTTTATTACAGTCATTAGATCAGTGTGTGTGTGTGTGTTTGTGTGTGTACACAATTTTTTCTATAATAAAACAAACAAAAGTGGCCCCTATTTTTCTACTTGCATTTTTGACGTGCTTTCGAACTGTTAGGTTGGCAGAAGCTGGGACAAGTAACGGGAGCTCACTCCGTTACGCGGCGCTAGGGATTCGAACTGCCGATCTTTCTGATCCACAAGCTCAACATCCTAGCTGCTGAGCCACCGCGTCCCCATCAACTTCAATTACTTAAAATGGATGCTTTTGTTTGTTTTATTATAGAAAAAATTGTGTATACACACACACACACACACACACACACACTGATCTATGACTGTAATAAACTCCTGCTACTATGACTTCACAGCGTGAAAGCAGAGAGGGTCCCCCACACCTACCACGTTGATAAGCTGGGACAGAATAACCTGCAATTGTATCACAACTAACTGCGAAGAGTTGAAGGCTGGGCGGATTAAGTTGTTGTAGCGTGAAGAGTTGAGGAGATGGTTCATTAACTTCTCTTCAGCGTCAGCCGTCTCACTTCCTGTAAAGTAGGAAAGAAGGAACTGGGTCACAGGAGGAAGGCAGAATCCTGCCCTTGATAAACCCACCAACCTGGGAAGAGATAGTAACCTCCCACCCAGGAGAGTCCAACAGAAAGAGGACCACCAGCTGAGAACGTGACTATCTCCTGAAGTAGTAACTCATTCTTTGCTTCTCTTTAGAATTAGAAATGTGTTCCAGAACACCAGTAGGTGTGTTGTTTCCTTTCCAGGTTAGCATCAAAACTATGCAACTTAGTTACAGAATATCAGGGTTAGAAGGGACCTTGGAGGTCCTCTAGTCCAACCCCATGCGCAGGCAGGAGAGGGACCCTGTACCATTCTGGATGGCTGTCCAATCTCTCTCTCTTGTGCGTGTTTTTTTCCAGTTTGGCCTGGATCTGTCGGGTGTCCATAGCCCATTCTGGCTTATATCCATGGCTTATGGCTCCATCCATCATATAGGCTCTACTAAGGGTTCGTTCCGGCTGGCACCACTGTTGGTTTTCTCGCGTGCAGGTTTCGCACTCTGCACGCATGCGCAGTGCGATTAAAATCGTTCCGCGCATGCGCAGAACTGAAAAGCAAGATGGCGCCACCAATTGGTTCGGGGGCGTGGCAGGCTTGGGTCGGTGCTGGTTCCAGGAACCCAGCCCGCCAAACCACTAGCGGTTCGGCCGAACCAGTCCAAACTGGTAGGAACCCACCGCTGAGCTCTGCTCATTGGGATTGATAGCCTTGAGGGCAAGCGATGGTTTCTGTCAGAAATGCACCTTAAAAGGCCTAGGAAAGTTTAGTTGGAAAGTTGATTTGGAAATCTCTTTGAAGACTTTCGTTACCCCTCTGTCCACTTAAAAGGGCTCCAAATTCATGAGCCGAGGTGGCGCAGTGGTTAGGGTGCAGTAATGCAGGACACTTCAGCTGACTGTTATCTGCAGTTCAGCGGTTCAAATCTCACCGGCTCAGGGTTGACTCAGCCTTCCATCCTTCCGAGGTGGGTGAAATGAGGACCCAGACTGTGGGGGCGATATGCTGACTCTGTAAACTGCTTAGAGAGGGCTGAAAGCCCTATGAAGCGGTATATAAGTCTAACTGCTATTGCTATTGCTATGAGCTCAGATCCTAAGCGGGCAATGGCCCATCCTATTCTAGCATCTGGAGCAACTTTGCCCTTAGTTTTGTGGCTACGATCCACTAGATGTCAGCAGAAGGTCTGCGCAAATCCATTTGTGAGGCTCGTGTGTCTGTGTGCCGAAAGCCGATCCTTCTGTGTTTTCAAAAACTCATCCTCTTCCCATCAATTTCTGAGAATCATTGATCCTAACTGAATCAAATACTGGGCACACGATGCGTTAAACCGTCAGTTTCCCAACACTCTCAGCGTTTTTACGTGTTATTCCTCGAGGCCAGTTTTCTCGCAGTAAAAAAAAGAGAGAAGGCAATAAAATTATCTTATCTTACTGCTTTTTCCCCTCTTCTTGTTGCCGTGACCAATTCAGTTTTTCATCTTGTTTGTTAAATTATTTTACATTGGACCAAGAGTCCATGCTGTCTGTGAAAGCTCTGGAGAAACCAAGTGGTTGGTTTAAAAGAGAGGGGGGAGAGGGAGAGAGAGAAAGTAGGAGAGGGGGAGGGAGAGAAAGAAGGAGAGAGGGAGAGAAAGAGGGAGGGAAAAGGGGGAGAGGAACAGAAGGAAAGGAATGCAAGGGGCTGGTTTAAAAAGAAAGGGAGAGAGGGAGGGAGAGAGACAGAGAGGGAGAGAGGGAAAGAGAGAGGGAGGGAGTGGGAGAGGAATAGAAGAGGAATTCAAGGGGCTGTTTTAAAAAAGAGAGAAGGAGAGAGAGGGAGGGAGAGAGAAGGAGAGAGGGAGGGAGAGAAAGACGGAGGGAAGAAGGGGGAGAGGAATAGGAGAGGAATTCAAGGGGCTGTTTTAAAAAAGAGAGGGAGAGAGAAGGAGAGAGGGAGGGAGAGAAAGAGGGAGGGAAGAAGAGGGAGAGGAACGGAAGGAAAGGAATCCAAGGGGCTGGTTTAAAAAGAAAGGGAAAGAGGGAGGGAGAGAGACAGAGGGAGAGAGAGAAAGAGAGAGGGAGGGAGGGGGAGAGGAATAGAAGGAGAGGAATTCAAGGGACTGTTTTAAAAAAGAGAGAAGGAGAGAGAGGGAGGGAGAGGGAGGGAGAGAGAAGGAGAGAGGGAGGGAGAGAAAGAGGGAGAGAAGAAGAGGGAGAGGAACGGAAGGAAAGGAATCCAAGGGGCTGGTTTAAAAAGAAAGGGAAAGAGGGAGGGAGAGAGACAGACGGAGAGAGAGAAAGAGAGAGGGAGGGAGGGGGAGAGGAATAGGAGGAGAGGAATTCAAGGGGCTGTTTTAAAAAAGAGAGAAAGAGAGAGGGAGGGAGGGAGAGAAAGACGGAGGGAAGAAGGGTGAGAGGAATGGCATCCAAGAGGCTGTTTTAAAAAAGAGAGAGGGAGAGGGAAGGAGAGAGGGGAGTGGAAGGAGAGGAATCCAACTATGAGTGATTTAGTAAACCAGCCACCAAATGATAGGGGGGGGGGCAACTTATGCACCGTGACTCCAACAGCTGGTTTATTCTCTGCAGCAGCCCCCACAGCCAACGGGCTTCTCTAATAATTCAAGGGAGGGGGGGAGAAAGTCACGCGTTAGAGAGAGAGAGAGAGCACTTGAAAGCGAGCTCCACTTTGGAAATAGGATTGATTTCCTTGCAGGGGTAGCTGGCAAAGGAAGTTGCAGAGTCTTGCAATATCGCTCCAGCACTCCAAGGGAGCCCATTCTTCTCCCTCTCCTCCGGGGCTGGTTAATGCCAGGTGCCTGCAGACCCGTCAAGACGGATTGCATCACTCTCCCTCAAGCCGGGAAGCCACGGGGATGGGCTCGGAACACAAACCCCATCGTCCCCGGGGCAGCAAACGCCCCGTCGGCTGGAAGTGATGGGAGCTGTAGTTCCAAACATACCTGGAAGCCTCCCAGTGGGAGAAGGCCGGTTTATCTCAGTATCTAGAAGCTCACAAATGCTTTGCGCCGATTCTGTCCACAAATGTATCTTGAAATTTCCGTCGACTTGCACAATTGGGGAAGGGGGGGACCGAAACATTCAGTTTAATTTTGGACATTTTGGATTCTTTCCAGTCCCCCCCGACTTTCTTTCCCCTTTCTAAGCAGCTTCTCTCCGAAACTCCATTTTGGAGACATTCTGCACACCCCTTTGGGGTGTTTGTTTGTTTTTCAGCTACTCCTAATAAAAATATTGCCTACTGAACAGATTCTGGAATTTTGCCTTGAAGAACTGACATAGTAATGAGCGGCTGTCTGTCTTTTCTATTCCCACCCCGTCCCAGAAGCCTGGGTATCTTTTCAGTTTTTCTAACCCCAGTAAGTAAAAGAAAAAAAAAGGTTGAAAATATGGTATAGGCATAGT